CCAGCCAGCCATGCTGGCCGGGGGATTCTGGGAGTTGAAGTCCACTCATCTTAAAGGGGCCAAGTTTGGACAACACTGCTGTAAGGTAATTGAATTGTCAGGATCAGCTGCATACTGTGTAAAGAAAGGAAGATACAGATGATTCTGAGGCCTAACCAGAAGTCCCAAGATCATTCATTCAGGAGCATCTGCAGCTGAGTCAAAAAAGTCAAGATGCAGCCATGCCCATGACATCAACGACATGACCCTTTTGCATATGCATTGTAGAAGGGGCAGGGCTTTAATCATGTGATCAAGCTGCCATCTTGACCTTTTTGACTCCACCCTGTGGACGCCCCTGAATGAATGATCTTGGGTCTTCCCAGAGACAGAGATTACTGTCTGAGACAAGCCAGGTGGAGGGAAGGAGATCTAGGCTCATTCTTAAGTTCTGCAAGGGGTTGTCAAAATAAATGCTCTCCCTGACAGTCACTGGGACTTCTTCAACTTGATGCCCCCCCCCCCCCAGCTTTGCAAGGGCACCAACATGACACCACAGTTTGGCGCAGTATGCTACATCAGCAAAACACTACTCAAAGTTAACATATGGTATGAATAAAGCCACTCCGTTTTTAACTAACTCGATTAAGTGTGAAGTCTACTCGAACATTAGCATGTTGCTGGGACCCTGGGGGTTGTAGTCCAACATGACTGGAAGACCCCAGGTTGGCAGAGGCCGATGAACCTCTGTGATAATCTCTCCCATTCCAGGATAGGAGACTGACTTGGGCTATTGACATTCCTGCTGTCCATCGTTTAGTTCACCCCAAGGTTTCCCAAGGAGCAAGAACGGAAAAAGTTGCTGGACAAGACAACTGCAGTGCCGGTGGCCAAAAGCGCAGGACGAATTTTGACTGCCCACAGCTAGAAGACCGCTTAAACATCCACATCCACTAACTGCTTCCCTTCCGGCTGGTGGGGCACCCTTCCCACTCCCTGCTCTCTGCTTTGAGGGTCGGTTCATACTGGGCTGCCGGCCGTGAAAGGCTAGACTTGGGGCGTGGTTCTCATTTCGGTTTTAATGGGTTCAGCAGTGAAATGGTAAAATGCTGCCTTTAAAAAAAAAGGGGGTGAAATTGACCAAAGTTCTGCCCTGCTTTCCCTTCCAGCCCAAGTGGCAGGAAGAACTGTAAAGCTGCCCTTAATTTGTCCTGCATAAAACTAAGGGTCGCACCACTTGCTATCCGCCTTGTTGCCAGAGCAGAACAGAGACTGGCTGCTTAGGTGCCACTCTTTTGTGTTGCTTCGGGGACTGCAGAAAAGCACATTAAAGCATCTGTCTGGATGGGTGCCTGGGTTCTCGTTTCCTTTCTCCTTGCCCTGCTGCTGAGGAGTCCTTCCCTAAAGGGAGCGCCATCTCTTGCCGCCTGTCACTGCTGCCAAGGCAGCTTGGAAGCTGCAGAATGCGGCATTACGAAGCAGAGGTCCCATGCTGGGACGGGCGAGAGCACAGCCAGGCCCCGGCTGGATGCAGCAGGGACTCTGCAGTGGGCATGGCGCAAGAAAGCACCCTCAGAGAGGCTGGCAAGAATGGGGCAGGGCCCCTGGGGCAGAGCCAGGGCCAAGCAGGGTGAGAAAAGCCTGTTGCCGCCAGTTGGCTTGGGGGGAGAGTGGGGGGGCAACCCCCCAGCAGCCTTTTCCCAAGGGCTTCTGTGGCTGGAGCTGGGAGGACCTGAGCTGAACTTGCATTCCAAGGATGCATGGATCCCAGAGGAGGAGGAGGAGGAGGAGGACCATCTCTCAGAAGGACAATATTTCAATGGCGGCACCATGACTGTGGAATTCCCTTCCCATGGGGATCTGCTGGGCTCTCCTTCTCTTAGCTTTCACATGCTAATTAAAAAGCTTTTTTCACTGTATTTTTAGTATATGATGTTATCTGGCTATCCGAGTGGCTACTTCACGCTTTTAATCTTGCAGCTTTTCTTCAAATGCTCCATGTCGATGACTCTTCTGTGTATTTCTGGTATCTTGTTTATTGCGATGTTCATGAGCTATGTTATGCATGTGGTAACAGAAGAGTAGGAACCTCCTCATTTTATGCCTCTAATGCACAGAGATTCAGCACACGTCTCCCATTACTTTACAAAATGTAAAAGTCTGCTTGCAAAGACACCCATGAAGTCTGTAACTTCACTCATTGGGTAACTATTTGGGTGGGGGGGTCAAAAAGAATCTGGTTTCTTGTTCCCCACCAGCCCTTTGTCTCTGAGGTGTAGCACACAGACAGAAATCCACCCTCAGTTTAATGCATACTCCAGAAGATCCCACAATTCTACCTTGCAAACTGCTTCACACTCATCACTGAAGGCAGCCACTTTTTAAAAATGGGTTGGTTAACTGCAGAGACATCCTGAGGGAGAAGGGGGTGGCGCGTGGTCAAAATCTTGCAGATTGGACTACCATCTCATGGATGCCACTGATCATCTGGCTGACGTAGAACATGCAAAGCCCTGAATGATAGCTGACAATGCAAGTAACTGAAAGTGTCATTGAAAGGGCTTGGCTCTTGTACCCCTGAGGTCTGTGTTGTGGGGAATTCCCTTCCCAGTGGCCAGTGCCCCCAGGGAAGTCCTACCTCTTCACTTCCTCAGCTCGCTATGTTCTTAGGGCTGTTTACATATCCCAGCTTGGGCTCCCCAGCACTGTCTCCTTCTCAGCCCTGGCTCTTCAGCAGTGGCTGTACTGACCACTAGACAACACCAATCCTCCCATGTGAGGGTCGTGGAACAAGAAGAGGAAAAAGTCCTGGAATTCAATGGTTGGCCTAATATTGCTATGAAGGGGTTGCATTCTGCAACAAAGGCCCATGCTACATTCATGAAAGACTCTTGTAAAGAGATGGGTTGCATCTTACAAAGACCAGGAAGGAAGTGTTTGGCAGCCCTTCGCTAGTCTCACCAGGAGAGTGTTAAACTAGAATAAAAGAGGGAGAGTGGCAAATATCCAGATTTTTTTTTTTTTTACATTGACAGCCAAAGACTGAAAGCAGAAGCAGGAAAAGGAGTAGACCACGACGGGGAACTCACAGTGTCATAGGAAATTACAACGGTGAGGGCAGTAGGCAGTGCCATTCAAAACCTCACATGTTTTGACACCAGGGCAGAGCGTGTGGGTGAGATGTAACTAAAGATCCTAACTCAGGAAGAAAAATATCATAGATAGGCATCCTTTGAAACTTGGTTGGAAGTTGCTCATGATTGGAATATAGCACTGAAAAACTACAACTTACTCAGAAAAACTGACCCAGCAGAAAAGTTGGGGGTGTTGCCCTGTACATAAAGAAAAATATACAGTGGCACAGAAATTCAGGAATTGGATCATGGAAATACCGTTGAAAGTGTCTAGGCAAGAACAGAAGGAGCAAAAGTAATACTGTTGCGGGAGTTTATTACAGACCGCCTGGGTAGCCAGAAGATATGAAGAGGCTTTTGGCATCAGACGGCGAAGTTTCAAAGAGGTTTGTAATAATGATAATGGGAGATTTAGATCATCTTGACATCTGCTGGGAATCTAACTCTGCCAAGAATCAGAGGTCCAGCAAATTCTTGTCCTCTCTTGCTGACAAATTCATTTGTCAAAAGGTGGAAAAAAGCTATTCTGGACCTAATCCTCATCAACAGGAAGGAATTGGTTGAAGAAGTGAGGGTGATTGGCACCTTGAGGGAAAGTGATCCTGTCATTCTTGAATTTGAGAGGTCTACCGAAGGAGGCTCTGAGAAGAGTCACCTACAGCACCTACTGCAGCAGAAGTGGGATGAACTCTGAGGAAAGGCAGGTTGGATCCAATGGAGTAAAATCCTGAAGGAGAACAATGTCCAGGAAAGGTGGGAAATTCTACAGATTCTACAGTAATGAAGACTCAGTCACAACCACCACCACTGCAAAGGAAAAATTGGAGAGCTCTCTAAAATGCTGTAAAGAAAACAGGATATATTCAGGAAGTGGAAGGAGGAGCACAGAACCACAGAAGAATACAAAGTAATCTGCAGAAACTGTAGGGACTATGTCAGAAAGCTAAAGGTCATCATGAGCTCAAACCTGTGAGAAATACCAAAGCTAACAAAAAACGGGCTCTTTTGGTATGTTAGAAAGCAAAGAAAAGCTAAAGAGGGTGTAGGACCATTGTGAGGAGAAGCTGGGGAGTCAGAAATGGATAATGGTAAGATGGCAAAACTTCTGAACTCCTCTTTGGTGTCCATCTTCCCTCAGAAGGGAAATGGAGCTAATTGTCATCTCTCCACTGTGAGAAGGAGGGAGCCTGATCTTAAGGTGGACAAGGAGAGAGTCAGAGAGAATTTAGCTATGGAGTCCTTGGGGTTCTCTGAGCTTGGTTGTTTTC